TTTCTCCCAGAATTATCGTTTTCGTTCTTGGACTGGGTGAGACGCGTATGAAACTGCACTTTTCGATTTAAAGGCGAGTTGCAAGAGTAAATATAATTTTATAATCGTGGTATAAATATCTATGACTTTCGATATTGAGATTTAGTCTCATTGGTGACAAGTGTTCTAAATCTCTTCCTTTTTACGGGGAAGGGTCGGAACCTCCTTACTGAGCCGTGGTCTGGGATTTTTCAGATTCCTTATTTTCGTCCAAGTAATGTATAGTGCATTGTAATTTTGGTCACTCAATAACAAGAAACTCAGACTATCATTGCGAGTTGTTTGTAGTTCACGTATTACCAGGTTAAATCCCTGATTTCTTAGTTAATTACCTATCGCCTTACTCATCAACTTCCGGCACAATTTTTCTTCGTACTCCTTTTTCAGCTGCCTATCCTCCCCATCTCCGAACCGCTTATTAAATGACTTATACCTTGCAATTTATACCACTTTTCTGAGTAAAAGTGCCTTTGTTCTATCTAATAAGGTGTCTGTTGAGTTACGAACCAGCTTTAAACAAGAATATTTTCTGTTCTGCTCCCACCTCTTCTCTTTAATTCTCTTATTCAGAATCTCATCTTAAGTCCTAAAAGATAGCCTCGATATTCCCGGAGATTTACATTTACTTTGTACATGGGCCTATCAAATTATTATCAAGTGAATGCCATGAAGAAGCTCAATGCACATCTACATAGTCAATATTTGTTAAATGGAGACCTGGATTTTACTTGCATCGGTCGTTTGTCGCAATGACAATGACTGAATTCATGCCAACTATTGTGTTGTACACTGCAAAGTCTGAGACATTTGGAATTTTATGTGAATAATATTCTCTTTCCGTAGAAAGTCATTGTATCTTGTTAAATATTCATCTAACTGGACAACCTTTCACAGTAAATGTGTTAGCACTTTTAAGATTTTCATCTTGCCTGTAAATTTGGCATGCTGCATGTAACATTGTTATCAGGCGCTAAAAACAAACAAATAAACTCCATATATGTGTCCTAATTTACTGAAAGATGTATACCAGTGGATTAAGGAACAATTTGTACTGACAAACTTTAACTGTAATACGACTTCACGTTTTTCACCCGTTCCAATAGTTTTCATTCAGAAGTAGGTGACAATATTTTGATGCATTTAACATCTGATAGGGGAGCCTAACTAGAATCCAAGCTACTGAAAAACTTATAGAAATTTCGAGACTGAAACGGAGAAGGGTGTACAGCATGTCATCCTGAAGCTGGTTGAATGGTAGAACATTTCTATAGCCAGTTCAATATCCAATATCTTTTTCGAGAGCTAGTATAAACCAACTGATTTCTTTGCGCTGGATTCTTTTTTTAATACTACACTCAAATCCCAATCAACGGACAAAGTTCCTTCATTTAGTCATGTTAGGAATAAGAACATTTGTCGAAACTGCACCCAGAAGCATCATAGAGCATTTGTTCAACAATTCCATTTCTTCTAAATAGATCGATTTTTATTGTGACATTGTAAGCCGGTAGTCACACTCAGCTTATGTTCCTCATTATTTCTAAATATCTACCTATCAGCAGTAATATGAATATCTGATTTACCAAATAATCGGAATAGAGTTTAGGTAGTTTATCTCATGGTTACACTCAAGTCGAAGGCTATCTTTTCAACTAGCTAGATTGGTTTATGTCTGTTGCCGCATTTATTACTATCACTCGTTTATATTAAGAGTTGTAATATTTCGATCTTATTAATATCTATATTCAGGGACGAAAATTAATTATGAATGACTCATATAAGCTGCAGAAACGTCGTTAATCACCAATTGTAACTTAATGTATATATATATGTGTATACATTTATTCCTCATATTTGAGTTATTCGGAATCAGATGATCTCACATATTAGTATGAACCTCGTGAACAAAACTACTGTCACCTCACACAATTTAACCACTCTCCTTCTGTATACTGGGTCTCGCACCTAACAAAAAGATCATTCTTACATATTGGCGACTAACTTTAATGTTTACTAACGCTACTGAGTAGCACTGATGTAAAAAATTAACCTGAAATGAACTATCGTAACATCGTTAACAACTGTCCTTATGGATAACTTCCGAATCCTTAAACTAAGTACTTGATAATATCACGTGCATCATTCCGTTAGTCTATAAAACTGATAATTTCAACGTAAGCGGAAAATTTCTTACCTGAAATTATGTATCAGGTCGCAAGAAATGGTTGTCATACGCTCAGTAACATTTAACCGGGGTGAATGGTGTATCCAAATTCTTTCGGGCTTATATTAGTATTAATTTTACTCCAAATTGGTTCCTAAGATGAAAACGCAGCATTTATTTCCTTTTCAGTCACAGTTAAACTCTGAGTGATACAAAGTTTATATAGAACGGAAAATTCGCTACTTGCAATTATGAATTCTTATTTAATATCTAATTATTTTCGAAGTACAGTGAGGAGATTCTTCAGGTTTGGTTGATTTCATTTTCTTATGATACTTTTTTAATCTATGATGGCTCAAAAGACTGGTGAGTAGACACCAGTAGGTAGGTGTAATTCCTCAGATGTTCTTGCTTAATTTTTTGCCTTCGTTTCTCTTATTCACTCAAATTTCTGTGGTGAAGAAGTGTGCGACATGTTTGGTACTATCACTTATGGAATGAATGTAAATCTTACAGTGATAAAATAGTGAACTTATAAAACATACATCGTATTGAGAATATGTCAGGATGCTCATGGAGTAATATGGGTCTTCGTCTATCGAAGAAACTGGCATGCTTTTGTCCTGTAAATGGATCAAACCGACATTCGAATGTAAGCCATCTTTAGAAGGAGGTCGATGTACTAGCCCAGGTTATGTAGTAACTACCTTTCCAAATACATCATCTAGGATAAAAAATTCTTTTTTAAGTTGATATTTACTTACTAACTTAAGGTAGATGTTATGCATTATAAAATCGCACTCTGAATGTTGCGTTGTCTGTTTTGTTTTAATTATAAGCTCCTCATTCGATTATGCTGCCGAACAAGGTCTGGATAAAGACCTACTTCGACCACGTTGCTGCCTTTTGATCGGTATGTGGGAGGTATAAACTAAAATCTTACAGTGCTTTAGAGTCCTTAAAACCTAAGCAAAGTGACTTCAAGGATATTTATCTGCATCAACTGATTCAGTACAGTTGATCCTTATTTCTTTGCGTCATGCAAGCCAGTAGGAACTGAGCCTGATTGGTATGACTGCACAACGATTTCTGCGTCGACGGTCCGAGGGGTAGTTAATTTACATTGGTTTCGCTTGCAAATATGCCCTTTGGCTGCATTCACCATTACAAAGGCATCCAAAAACAGGCTCTTTGTATCCTAGCAGCGTTGACGGCACAAGGGCACACCTGAAGGCCTTAGTTTCGTGATAACCATTTAAAAATGAAGTTTCATGAGGTACTTGCCTCGTATCCCGCGATTCTTCAAGGGCTCTATCCCCCTTCGTATTTTACTTCTTAAGAGAACTCATGAGCAATTGTAATTCAACAAAATGTATACATTTTGTACTTATAATACTGTATGTTAATTCTGACTGGGTGTCGACAGCTTAAGGGTTGGAAAATGTATTTTTCTACTGTCTAGTCCACAAGAAGAAGTTTCCAGATAGTTTAAACGTAAGGAGGCAAGAATTAATAAATAGAATGATGTGACCTGTGAACTTCTAAGTTCAAGCATATAGAAAATAAAAACGCCAGTAACTTCAATAATATAAATATGCGAATGTACGCTCGAGGAAAATACAATAGTTAGGGTTAAAGCAGCACATTTGATTCATGATAGTGATCAGTAATATAAATTTAACTCGGTGGGGTAAAACGCAGCTGACCTTTTAAAACTGCGTGTCATGATCATCATTCAGAACTCAAGATAAGGCTTATTAGCAGGCTTTGGACTACTCTTTTGTCCTTAACAACTTTTAGACCGAGTATATCAAACCAAAATCATATATGAGGGAGTTCGAAATCATATTTGAATGATGGCTAGCATGTGGAGCAAGTGAACTAAGCTTGCCAGTTGATGGGAGAGGGTTTGCAGCACGACGTACCTATTAGTACACTGGTGAAGATGCGTGAAGGAGCTTTTTCAGTTATGGTGTGTCCAGTAGAACTGATGAGATCCGCAAAACTTTCGAAAACCTCAGTAACCATTTGTTTTGGGGATCTGTGTACCGCTGCACAGCTGTTTCCAGTTTAAGCTCACGTGTGTATTACCGCGCACATAACTTTTCAGATTTCTATCACAAAGAAGAATAGAAATTCAAAAAAAGCTTATAATTTTTATACATTAGTTGATTCGCTACATTCAGAATTGTGTTTACGTTATTCAGTTTGTTTTTTGATGGTTCATTACACTTAGGATACGATAGTTCAATATAACCAACGAATAGACACAGACTTGGGATCGGCAACGAAATTAGTAGCCTTTCTTACTTGCACACAGTAAATTATTCATAGTCGCCTGATTAGTAGGAAAACAACTCACCTGAATGCATGAGTTCGTAATCATTCATTCTGATGGAATAGTTTCCACCACTTTGTTTCCAAAATGTGACTGGGCTGTAGTCATTATAATGAAGTAACCACAAGTGCAGTTAGTTACTCATCAACGGTGCACTGCGAACTGGAAGTATATTGCGAGCGCATCAAATTAAAAAAAACAATTAGTCGTTTAAAATGGACAAATTAAGTCATAATTATCTACCTGAAAGATTCAGTCAGCACCAGTTAGAACATATGCTAATGGGAGATTACATGTATCCAACTACCATTAAAATGCTAGGCTAAATTCAACTTGTGGGATTGAAAATAGATTAGAACCTATCAAAATCTGGAACCGTACCTAAAGAACAAGAATTGAGCTCAAAGAAATCAACTGGTTTATTCTAGCTCGAGAAAGGGACATTGGATATGTTGGATATTGAAGAGGTCTGGCGCGTTTTCCGTCAACTTCCATCAATTATCAGTTAGTTTGTATGTTCTGAGAAGCAGGTTTGTAGCCTACACTTGTTTTCAAAAAATGGTTTTGATTGGAGGTAAATTCTTTCTTTTTTTACTGAACTACTCAATCCACCCGGTTTTGACAAACCTTAGTATGATGGTGAAGTATCGTTTCAGTAACTATTGAGATAACTCCAAGTTTCCTCTTGTTTTTGGGAGAACCCAAAACTTTACAGACGTCTTGGTATATAACATACATTCGCCTCATTATTCATCATGGTTATTGAGAGATATAAACCCTGACTTTTATTTGCAGTTTAATGCATAACGATTCCGAAAGCTTAACTTAATTAGAAATCCATCCCGTCATTATTTTTCCACTTTTATAATTACGTTGACTAAGGTAGTTTGGACATGTTCTGAGTTTATTCAACAGCCGACTATCTCAACGGGCAATTCTGTCTGATCTAGGATTATGCTGTAAGAAAGTTGGGGTCGGCCGAACCGAAACGTGGCACAAATCCATGAAGTTACATACATACTGTTTTCCCTTTCAACCCTGCCTAATTTTAAATGTTAGTAGTTCGGTTCACTGTTATTTCGTGGGTGTTTGCTCTTGTTTCACAACATCTATTTCATATTTTAGTAGATCATCGACCATGAGTGCCTTAAATCCGTCCTACGAAGCATCAACTAGTACATCAAAGAAAAGTTGTGTGAATAATCCTATGAGATTCTCCATTAACAAGGATATCATAAAAAAATCTGAAAATCAAGATGTGAACTCAATTCAACGTATTGTCGCATATGATCACTTAGAATTTGAAGCTAGTATGTTCCTATTGGTATGCTTTATTTTCTGTAAAGGTGTTGTTGAACAAGTTAATAATACGTTTAAAAGAAATCATAGTCTTCAGATCAGTGCAGCAAAGGAAAGGCTTTCTGCCATAGATGACGATATAGTGTATGTTAATATTGGTGTTATCTCATCTTACAGATCTGCTCAAAATGAACTGGAGGAAATGGAGCGATCACTTGATACCTTGCTCAGTGAATTATCTACTGAAGTGTCAAGTAACAGTTTGGGAAACAGGAAAATACGTTCTTTAGAATTAGAAATAGAGACAAAGGCACGGTTCATTTCCAATAGTGTTTATTGCTTTCGTAGATGAAACTTATTGACACTTTAACATCTAGGAAGACTGCTTTGATGACTAAGTTGTCTTCTTTAGAGAAGGCAAGTTTCATCTCAGATGACGACACTTCAAGTGAGTATTTTTTCACACTTTCGACATTTTGTAGTAACCAAATGTAGACCAAGTAATTGTTTTTTTGTGTGTGCTGAGATATCGTCTGAATACCCAAACCGAAGCAAGTAGCATCCTGAGGTTGCTACTCCCCAAACATTTGGCCCGGATGTATGTTCCACAATGCAGTGGAGCATCGTTTGGAGTTGCAACCCTATGGTGACCAGCGACCAACAGTAGGTTTGTACACCATTTGTTCCTTAATGATCCTGGAGCCCATGTGCATCACCAATTTGGAATCAGGGTTTTCCAACCCCCCTAGGTGTGTCCAGCGTACTCATTTAGCCTATTTAAGCGCCGGACGTTCGTTTATTGTCTTCTTGAATTATTAAACAATATTAATACCATGGGGAGGCAGTGACTAGAACTTTTCTGGCAGTGGATATATATGCGTGTCCATATTACATTTCGAGAGGAAGAGTGGACTTTCCTGATTCTCGACCGTACCAGGGCTTTATTATTGCTTTAATCATTCTCGCAAATTACAGCTATTTGTTAACATCTGTTTTCATTTTTCATCCCGTTTCTTGTCTATCACTGTATTTGTGGACTTCCTATTCTTTAACTCATAGAGCAACTTGCGTGCGGTGGAAATCTTGTCCTGTCCAAACCATCTAAAGTGACTGACTAGTCTAAAGTGGAATACTACGAACGCTGCGAATACGAATTCTGAACTAGCGTTTCTGATAACAACGTATCTAATTTGAATCTGCCTTCAACGTCCGCACACTAGTGTAGATAGGATAGCAGATAAGGTTGGCTGTGTCGTTAGAAATTCTGGACATCGATATCTGTTGTCTACTAGAGACTCGTATTCAAGACTTAAGTGATGTACTACAAATTTGCTCTCTGTCGATCACTTGCGAAAGATTGTTTCACGTGCATTTATTCAGGGACCTTGTCGTATCTTCATCTGGCTTTTCTGGTATTACTGTCTCATTAAGCGCTAGGGCTAAAGCAGTGCCAATCTATTGTCACTCCTTTCGGAGTACTTATCTGCACTCTGGTCGTGTCATTAAATTGGTTGCATCTTCCATTTTAACTACATATCAAACCAATCTAGGTTCAAAGCTACCTGTCTGTAACTGCGTAGTAGTAGTCTGGCATGAGTTAAACCATCTTCGGAGCGGATGAAACGCCAAATGTCTTGGAAGATGGACTGAATTTTCGACGAACAGTCACGTTGGTCTTCTTCCCTGGTGACAGATCAAACTGTCGTCATCTGACCCATCCAATGGGACAGAAATTTGAAAGGAACTTTCACCCTTAAAAAAAACCAAAAATTACTAGGTCTAGATGACTTAATCCCGACTCCTTTCTGATTAAGGGATTGACAGTTGTGTACAAACGTTTGATTATTAGAAAATTGTATAATCCTATTCTTATGAGTTCCTAAAGTTTCCTCTCTGTAGCACATTGAATGGTTAAATATCTAGTACAATTCAGTCAAACTGGCACCTACGAAACTTGATATCACACGGTTACAAGAGTTCAAAGCCAAAATGGCACATACTCGAAAGGTAGATTGTAAGAGTTCACCATATTTATTGGTTGAAGCTAAACGAATAACTGCATATTTCTACTTGGATTAGTGTTTAAATGTGTCTGTGGATATAACTTTTTTAATACTCATCTGTTTGTAACGATAAATTTTTCTACCACCAAACTGTAGGATTAGTTGTTGTGTGGTAGTCACTATTCACTGTTAGTTTTAATTTAGAGTTATTTTATTCTATTTTCTAAATTGAAAACTAGGACCAAATAAAGACTTTCAAGGTGTCAGTATTGTGAAACCACAGTTTGCAGATAATTCTAATTCTCCCATAAAACATCTCAATACTAAAGCAAGACGTTATGAAAACAATGCTGAAGAACTAAAAAAACTGTCTAAATGTAAACACAGTGATGATGCTGATATAAATGTGTTTCAGGAACGTCTGAGACGTCAAAGACGTAGTGAGTTATTAGAGAAACAATTAGCTAAAGAACATGAGGTTAGTAAGTTACATACTTTTTTATTGAGTGCATTTCATCTCATTATGTATCATATTGCTAGATATCTTAGTTATTTGGGCAGCTAATTACTAAATGTATATTGGGTTGTACAAAGCTGCTTGTTTTCCTTACTTTTCTAGAGATTACGGTTAAAAACGTTTCCGCCATATGTTTGTCAATGATCATTTGGTTAAATCCAAAACAGAATTACTCTAATTCAAGAATGACTAATAATTATGTTTTAGTGATAAATTAAAATAAAAGTCGTAACTGTTTTGTGGATTCTGAAAGAATAATTGTGGTTTCTATGACCTAATGTTATACTTGTTTTAAGGTGGACAGAATTGTTTGCTTATATTAGTAAAATCCCATGTCAATCTTCGTTTCACAAAATGGGTCATTTATGATCACTACGATGGTAATAATGATAATAATAATAACTAGAAAATGAGCTGGTGCTTTTGTTTGTATGATTCGATGCAACAGCTGTCTATTTCTTGTATATTTACGATCAGTGATCACTAATATTTTAGTAGAATGAGTAGTCCCATGCTTCGTTTCGGTGTGGTATTTCAGTTACTAATTTATTACCTAATGGTAGTCATTTGGGTAGCTGTCATAGCTACTGACTTTTTAGCTTTCACCTATCCCTAAGCGGTCTAGCATAACTTATTTTAATGTTAGTGAACTTGTTTAAATTTGTAGTTTTGTCGTCTGTGTAAGTGGATTTTCCTTTTCAAAGGATAATATCTACTTCGAACTACTGGTAACTTAAAGAGAGTTGGATTATTGATTACGAAATTGATCTTTTAACTATCAGGCTGTGGAGTAGCACCCCACTCCAAAGTTGAGTATGATTAGTTTGGAATGTTAATTACATTTTATTCTTATTCAAAATTCGATTCCCTTAATAACGTTGCAACCATTCAATTCGTTTACTTATATTTTCAGTGTAGAATGGGGTTATAAATTTTCTTAGCTAATGAGATGCTTGAAGTAGAATTCCATGAAGGCTGTCATAATGTCTGACTTTGTCCACATTAGTTAAGGAAAATAATAAACGGTAGTTGGTGGTTATGTTTTCAAACAAATGTGTACATACGTAAAGTTGTATTAAAAAACGGAATAATTGATCTGGCATCATTGAATTGATCATGGTTTTTGATGCGGCCGTTGTGGAGGTTTTGAGTTCAATGCTTGAGATAAACAAACTGAGTATTGATTGCCTTCACTAACAACCCCATATTTTAGCAGTACAAAAATGCTTTGTTTATATAAGTGAATAAATGAATAAAGGTTCCCGTTGTGAAAATTAGAACAACGGAAATAAGAGAACAATACTGCCTTCAATATACGTAAATCTGAAACCAGTCAAGGCAATTTGTGATTCAATGAACAATCACAATGAAATAGATTGAATAACTAAACTTAATAATAATGATAATAATAATAATAATAATAAAATAACCAAAGTTCTAGTCAAGTACTAGGTCAAACTTAGATAAATGGACTTAAAATAATCATCACAAAACTTCATTAGAATTACTTAGCGAGAAATATCTTAATAATTAGATAGTGAAGAATATACATTGAAAGAGGTAAAAATGGGTTAACAAATACAAGGTGTGGAAAAATCACTAAATTCGTCTATTATGTCATATGCAGCCAAGGAGGAGATATGGGTGTCACAAATTTCTCCTAAACACATAAATTAAGTTTATAGTTTCGGATCCCGATGGTCTCTGCTTCATGTAGGAGTGGAATTCGAGCTCCATTCGGAAATGACGAGGGTATATGATAGATCGCTCGGAATGACTCACTTTAATTTAGAATAGGACCCACTGTCAAACAATAATATTAATAATACTGTTTCTGATTGCTCCTGCCTTACTATCAGTTTGTTCTTTTTATTTATTATGCGTAGTTATGCCATCTATTTCGTTGTGATCGGTGACTCATAAATTGTTTTGATTGGTTTAATATTTTCATTTTAATGTTCCTGCACATATTAAAGTTAAGCCTGATGAGGATCTAATTAAAAACAATATTGTTAGCTTGAATGTGTTTGTGTTTATATATTACGGATTATATTACGTCAATATTTCTTGTGTATCTTCCGAACTGGTTGTTATGCTTGACCTGGTAATGCTCATTGGTTTCTTTTTTGTACTTGTGTTTTAGCAAAACTTTACAATATGTATTCTAGTTCTCGAATTTCTTAAGAAAACGATAGATATATTTTAGGTACATTCTAGTAACCCTTCTGATGGGAGACTAGATGGTGGATTTTGTGTTCCGGGTTCTATTTGGTGTCGATTATTTGATTATCAACGAAAAGGTGTCAGTTGGTTGTGGGATCTTCATCAGAAAGGATGTGGCGGTATTGTTGGAGATGAAATGGGACTTGGAAAAACCATACAGGTTAGCTTTTGAATTTAATTTACAGATTATTTCTCATCATCTGCCTTAATGTTATTTTTATTTATCTCTCTTGGTAATTTAAGTTATTTTGAGTGTTATTTAGCAACTAACAAGTCACAACTTCAACGCCCAACTCACATCTATGTTCATTTAATCATAACCGAAACTTATTGCACAGAAGTCAAATACCACTAGATCGATACCACTGAAGTTAATGCAGCAGAATGTATGCTAAGTTTTCGTTTATTGACGATTTGTCTTTACACAAATGGTAATGTATATGCTAAACACTGGATAGTATTCAATCCCATGCTCAAGTCTTGAATGCATTCTTTGGCAGTTATTACAATATTTCATTGAATACTATCGATTTTGTATGCTTAAAGGTTTGGATATATAGTACAGATCATAGAGTAACCTGTTTTACTTTTTGCATACAAATGAGTATGAATTAACGCATCATTTTATTGAGAGATGATAATGTAACAGAACAAAATTATTTTTATCGACATAGTCATCTGTTTGATTAATAAGAAAGTTTGTATTCTGTTCGAGTGAAACTGGTTGAATTAATTTAGATTATTTTTCATAATTTCCAAGGTTATTGCCTTATTGGCTGGACTGGATTATTCGAAACTAGAAGATCAGTCGTATCGTTTATATCTATCTAGTCGTAATACATCCTCTGAATGTCAGCAAGAGTAAGTAAATTCTTACTAGTCAGTTTTCAGTTTTTCTGTTAGTCAATTAGATGATCGAATAGGTATGGAGGAAAAACAGTTGCTGTAAAGCATAACTAATACTTTTTCTGACCGTGAACATTTTTAACAATCCTGTTACATTCTTAATACAAACTTATGAGATGACGGTTTATTGGTTGAAGCACTTCTGAATCATTGAATTGAAGGTTCGAAATGTGCCAAAGATATTTTAGTTCATGCAAATGCATAGTATTAGTAGCTACCTTACACAGAAGTTATAGCGTGAAGCTGAGTATAAAAAATTATACTCTACTCCATTGAATAGTCGAACTGTACACATTTCAAAGACTGGATCACGTTATATCAGATACTCGACTCAAGACCGAAATAAAGGACCAGAGCAAGCAATAGACAATACTTTATTCCACATAATTACAAGCAATAGCTCTCATTGAGTTCGAAGAAGAAATCCATAAGAGGAGATGAAATCACATTTAGTAGTCAGTAGTTTGAGTACCTGTCTGTCCGTGCTCAATTACTAATCACATTTCACTTTCACTGCTATACACTAAGTATAACTGCCTATACCTTCATATTTGATTGCAATTTTTATAGGATCTATGATTCTGCTTTGTTTTTTTTGTGTCATATATATTCAGGAAAAATAATGTGCTTATAACACTTTAATTAGATGAGTCAAATAGTTTCTCCTCTAAATCTTTTGTGCTTAAAATGGTTCAAAACTTCATTTACAAATCGGTAATTAATTTTAATCTCATCAAATACATTTTTATAAAACACAGCTGCGATAAAATGAACGACTAAAAGTAAAAACATTTATTTAAAAAAATCCTATTTTGCTTAAATAATACTCGTTCATCCCTGGTATAGTAATGAAAATCGGAATTGTCTTTGGTTGTGTGTGACATTTAGTGATATTGTGTAAGAGAGAAGACTGTAAGTTTAATTACATTATTCTCCTCAGAATGTAGTACACTTATCTATTGTATTACTGGCAAAAATTTTCTCAGCCTCATCATTCAAGTTTTACTGTTATATAGACTAGAGGTAATATTTTGTCTCCAGTGGTAGCATAGTTTATTTATATCAATTTTACTGGTCTTATTACTTTATTTTCATGACAAGAGTTAATATTTTCATGTGACTGTGCATAAGTTTATCATTACGATAGTAACTACAAAATTCTCAACTCATGTTGCCTTTTTTAATGTAACGTGTCCATAATCTTCTTAATGTACAGTACTTTTTGCCTACAAAAATTCTTCACTAAGAATATAGTAATAAATTGAGAAAACTTTCGTATGATTCTATTTTCTTTTTTCAATTCAATAAATTGTACTCTGTCGACGAATATCATCAACTAATTTATTCAGCATAAGGTTCATAAAATCATTTTTAAGTAAGTAAATTCCATTTTTTTTTGGAATTAGTAGTATGCCTCATTTATAGTCTCATTCTAATTCACAAACAAAAGAAAGATGATTTTTTTAGATAACTTAAAAACGGAACAGTTGTAAATAGTTCATACTCCTCTGTTTGATCGACATGGAAATGAAGTTTAACTGTCCATACATAACTATCTAAATAAGCATATAGTAAGTTAGTAGAATATATGATATTATATGATTATGATTTGATATTCTAAAATAAATAAACAAGAATATTAGAAGAAAATATATGAGTCTTTATTGTACAGTAACTATATGTTAGATATTTTCTACAAGTTATTTTATCCTCTCTATTTTTTCCTATTTTACCATAAAGATTTTTAGGATTAGGTCCAACCTTGATCGTTTGTCCTGCTACAGTATTAAATCAGTGGATGTCAGAATTCCATTCGTGGTGGCCTCCTATTCGTGTGGCTATATTGCATTCAACTGGATCGGGTTATGGAAAACCAGTAAGTCGAATCAGTATGACTTGATACAATTTGTTGGTGGTAATAACTCAAAACAAAAAATATCTATTCAATTTATGTATTGCCTTGTGCATCTCTGTATATTTTACACTACACTCAGTTTTACCTTAAAGTTGAAGGAAAGTTGTTTTCTGATTATTACACCAGTTTTTCAGCTTTGTACTCCTACTTAAAATTTTAATAAAGAGTCATTTCAAAACCATGCGATCATTGTGGAGAGGAGATGCGTTGAAAGCTCAAATGATAAGCATATAGTTTCAAAAGCAATGAAACATTTAGGTTATCTGATTACGACAGGAAGTTGGGAATATTTAAGCAAAATGAAGTAGGCGAAGAATTGTTACAACGGTGTGTTTATGGAAACTAAAATTGCTGTAAAGTTAGGGAGTCTGTAAGGTATTTATAAGTAAATTTGAATAGCCAACTCTTAACAGCACGAGAATATTTTGAATGGTAGCCCCTAAATGCCCTGGTACGGTCGAGAGTGGAGGGTTTTCTGTATTTCTAGAAATGCTCTCATATGGCCATGCATATGTAGCCACTGCCAGAGAGTTTGCGAAATTGAGGGGACGAAAGGTGAACGTCCAGCACCTAAGCTGGGTTGGCGGGTACGAAGCATTCAACTAGGGGAGTCGGAAAATCATGATTCCGAACTATTGGTGTACCTGAGCTCCATGATCATGGAGGAACAATGGTGTACGAAGCTATTGTTGGTCCCCAGTCGCCATAGGGCTGCACCTCCTAACGTTACTCGATTGCTTTATGGATCAGTCTATTGGGTTAAATGTTCGGGTTGTGACCCGCTTAGAAAATCACTTGCTTGGATTTAGGAGTCTGGGTAGTATTCGAGCCAACTTACAAATTCAAAAATTTGTGTAACGCATGAACGTTTAGCTATCTCTTTGTACCAATGTTTATGTGCAAACAAAATGAATAAAATGTGATTTCAAGAAGTTTGAATCAATGCTCAGTGTTATATTGAATTTTCTGAGACAAAGGCGGTAAAGAATTAATACTTGCTTAAAATATTTTATCTGACTAGCTAAGCATAATAGTTTTCATGGCGCACTGTTTAACATAACATTAGGTACAGTTGTTGTAAGTAATATTACAAAAATACAGAAATTTCTAAGTCATCACCAAAAGTATATCTTAACTTAAATGAATAACTGTTGGGCTTTATCGTCAATCGAATTGTACGAAATTTAAAGTGCTTAACTTTTCATTACTTGGTGCTAGGTTCAAACGCGACAACATTTTGTAAGTATTACTAGCTTTCGCACTTCAGATGTGCGGCTTAGGACGGATTACATGAACCTGTGTTTTTGTTGAAATGATTATCTATATTCAAATGAATTTTTCGGAAATTATTTTTATCAATTTATATTTATATCCTCGTTTACATTCTCATTTTAGAATAAACTTGTACAAACGATAACTAACAATCCAGGAAGTGTTCTTCTAACCACTTATTCAACCTTAGTAACGTATCGTGATATACTGACATCTCGAAATTGGTCTTATATCATATTGGATGAAGGGCATAAAATAAAAAATCCAGAAGCTGAGGCCACATTAGCTGTTAAACATGTAAGCATATCGTGCATACACTTTAAAAAATAATAATACAAATTTTTATAGTTTTCAACTCCCCATCGATTAATTCTTTCTGGTAGTCCGATTCAAAATAATCTACGTGAATTATGGTCACTCTTTGATTTTGTGTGTCCCGGACGATTAGGACCATTGTCAGAATTTATGCAACAATTTTCTATACCAATTACTCAAGGAGGTTATGCTACCGCTTCACCACTTCAGGTAACTTGTTATTGACTTCGTTGTTCTTGATAATTGAGTTATTTGATCCAAGGTTTTCATTTGGTGTTATTTTCTATTTAATCTATAAAGGTTGAAACCGCTTATCAATGTGCATGTACCTTACGAGATCTTTTAAAACCATATCTCATTCGAAGACTTAAGGCTGATGCACAAATTCAATTGCCAGCTAAATCAGAACAAGTAAGTTTTAATTATTGTCGTTCCAGGTATTGTCTAGTCAATTTTTTCGATCCATTTTTTAACTCTTGTTGCATAAGTATAAGTTTATACTCAATAATATAGATTGGTTCATTTCTGGGAACTAACTAACTAAATTACAATCATGGGACTTTTTTCATATCGAAGCTATAGATTTTACTGAGAAAGAAATTAGAGTAAGTTTAAAACCACAAGTCTAATGTATTTTAGGATAGTATCTCGTAACATGATACGCGAGAGGACAAATAAAGTGTTTTTTATCATTATCTAACCACATTTTACTGGAATATATGTGGCTAGTGTTTTGGTTGAAGCCCTCTTATAATCTAATGCTTTTGAGGCGCTGGTATATTGTAAGGAAAAGTATTTTCTGTGTTTTAGCCCGGTGCTTGACTAAACTCGTGATTTTTTTAGTAGTTCTTCAAAGACTTTTTACACAGGATAATGTAATTGTTGTTGTTCAGATATCTTATTATTTTTTTAAGAAGATTGTGGAAGCTAATTTTACTGTTTAACAACCATTGAAAACTAGGAAGCACTGGAATTGTAAAAGTTAAGCGATCGCTGTGACACCTGAAAGTCTTACGTTTAACCCTTGATGCACCGTCAATGTGCACTGCTGAGGAGTCCCATACTGAGACAAAAGAGCTGTTTATTACTTCTTGCTATCCAACGGCTTTTTAACCATAGTCAGTTTCTAATATTAACCAACAAACCCTGCTATTATAGTTGGTCGTCAGTTAAAGTAGGTACATTGTGATAATCCCATAATAAAGCATTAAGGTGTCTGTCAGATTAGTTTAAATATATGCTGAATACCACTAAAAAGTAACTCCATCCTTTTAAAACGATTTATTAAGTTTTGTTTCATCAATTACTCAAAAATAAGCTATGGTTATTTGAACTAGTTTTACTCCAGTTTCAAGCAGTAGCTTACTAGTTAGTATCAAATCTGATCTCCTTAACAAGGTTTAAACGAATGGATGGTATAATTAATTCTCAAAGTATTAGTATGGTTTACATTGTGGTGCATAAAGTTGTCTAGAGTTGCTGATTGATTTTATTGTAGAATACTACATACCCGATGTGTAATTGCAGTTATAATCACTAGTACTATTGAAAATATGTAGATATATACATAGCCTTTCTAGAATTGTGGCGAGAAATTTACAGATTACCTACTTTGCATGAACACTCGATACTTGTTAAAAAGTTCTTCATCAACGACTGTTCTAACTAAATTTTCGCAAGTTATTTAAATAATTGCGGTTTATAGTGTAAATTATCGTATTGAATTGTGTTCGTAATTTTGTTGTTGATATTTAGAATCGATATTGTTCAGTCTCTCTTGTCATAATGCACGTCTTGAATGCTGTTTTTGACCGCATACTAAAATCACTTAGGAAGTTTCTTACAACGTTTTTACATAGTCTTTTCTTTTCCTTTATCTATTTAGGTTTTATTTTGTCGACTAACTGATTATCAACGAAAACTTTATCGAGAATACTTGGAGTCTCAAGTGTGTAAAGATCTACTGAATGGAAAAGGCAATGTAAGCTATGAACTTTAACAATGCTATCTGTAACCATCACGTTTTACGATATCAATAACAAACTAAAGACATATCAGTTTTTATGGTGTTTTTTTAAGATTCGTTACGTATATTCGATTTTGTTGTTATCGGTTAGCTTTTTTCTGGTGGTGATTTTGTAAGATTAACGAATTTATTGTCAGTCAGTCAGTCAGATGCAACGTAGAACTTCATACATAAGTACATCAGTTCATGTCGCCATACCACATCAGCACAGAGATGTAATTGTCAACTCAAATCCAATAGTTGAAGAGGTAGTAAAGGTATTAGGAGTAATCGGAGAGGTTACTGTTTGAAGATATTATTCAAGAAGTATGATTCAGTGAGAAAAGATTAGAAAGTCAAAACTAGAGTTGTTGAAGAACCCAGAAGGTTAGGATTTGAGAGAACACAAAGAATAAATGCACCGGCGCCATTGCGAACGATTTTGAGCCATATCACTCAGGGTCTCTAACCATTGATTAGTATCATCTCGCGGACCCCAACCAGGTAGTCGACAATTACCGACATGGCTAAGTCCACTCGTCAATGACTTCATGGATTTCTTCCATGTTTTGATTTGGCCGCCCCTCACTTTCTTCCAACCTATCCCTACACTACTAAACAAAGCTCAACGAGGCAGTCGGTCGTTAGGCATACGCAACACATGTCCCAACCACCTCAACTGATGAAGTTTCACCACTTCATCTATTGATCTACCATTCTTACCTAGAACCCGATTCCTAATAACAGCGTTGCTCAATCGGGTGTCCCACGATATACGAGCAATGCTTCGAAGACACCTACGATCGAAAACCAGTAACCTACGAATATCTTCTACTCTCACTGGCCATGTTTCACAGCCATAAAGTAAGACGGAGCGAACCACTGCATAGTACACTCGTCCTTTAGTCAGCAAACGGATATCTCGCCTGTGCCATAAGTGACGCAGGTTGGCAAAAGCCAATCGAGCCTTCTATATCCGAGCTGAGATTTCGTCAGTCACCAAGCCATCGGTCCTGAAAATTCAGACGAGGATAAGGTTATTTCTAGCAGCATGTCTATGACAAAATTGAACAAGAATAGAGAAAGTGGATATCCCTGACGGACACCACTTGAAGTAAAGAATTCCGTTGACAGTTCGCCATAAGCTCTCACTCGACCAGTGGTGTTCGAGTAGATAGCTTGTATGAGGTTAATGTACTTCTTTGGTACACCTTTCAATGACAGACACTGCCACAGAACCTCACGATCCACTGAGTCGAATGCCGTCTTTAGGCCCAAGAACACAACTATTTTAGGACACCTAAATGTGTGTCTATGTTCCAGGACCTGTCGTAGTGTGAAGATGTGGTCTATACAACCACGTCCAGGTCGAAAACCAGCCTGGTTTTCTCTAGTCTGCTCTTCACGAGCTTTCGTTAAGCGTCGAAGTATTATTGAGGCCAATATTTTAGATACTATATTAGTGTGTCCTTTCTTATAGATTGGGACAATCAGTGATTGAGACCACTCGGATGGGATTATGTCCAGTTCCCAGATTCTACCTAAGATCTCGGTCAACCAAGTTGCTAAAACTGGACCACCATCCTAAAATATCTCAGGGGTCAGTCTATCAGGACCTGCAGCTCGTCCTCGTTTCAGATTTCGTAGCGCTTTCTCAACGTCATTAAGACTAGGGGGACTTAGGTCGATTTGCCATTCAGGATGACTGGAGATCGTGGGTAACCGAAGAGTGGCTCGTGGCCAGTTGAACTGATCCCTAAAGTGTTCTGCCCATCGATCCAGTCTCCTGGATTAGGAATAAATAATAGTCCCATCATTTTCCGAGATAGTCTCACTTACATTACTTACTTACTTACTTTTGCCTGTTACCCCCAATGGAGCATAGGCCGCCCACCAGTTTTCTCCAACCAACTCTGTCCTGAGCTTCTCTCTCCAGTTCTGTCCAATGTTTGTTCATTCCTCTCATATCTTTCTCTATTTCTCGGCGTAGTGTGTTCCTTGGCCTTCCTCTTTTCCTTTTGCCTTGAGGGTTCCATGTGAGGGCTTGTCTAGTGACGCAGTTGGGTGCTTTTCGTAGTGTATGTCCTATCCATTTCCACCGCTTCTTCCTGATTTCCTCCTCCATTGGAATCTGACTTGTTCTCTCCCACAGTTCGTTGTTGCTGATGGTGTCTGGCCAACGAATACGAAGTATTTTGCGTAGACAACTGTTAATAAACACTTGTATCTTCTGGATGATGGCTTTGGTAGTTCTCCATGTTTCCGCTCCATACAGTAGAACTGTCTTGACATTTGTATTGAAGATCCTGATTTTGGTTTTGGTTGAAAGTTGTTTGGAGTTCCAGATATTTTTCAACTGTAGAAATGCAGCCCTTGCTTTGTCAATCCGCGCCCTCACATCTGCGTCCGATCCACCTTTCTCGTCGATGATGCTGCCAAGATATGTGAAGGTGTTAACGTCCTCCAAGGTATCTCCATCAAGCGTGATTCGGTTGGTGCATGTTGTGTTGCATCGGAGAATTTTGCTTTTTCCTCTATGTATGTTGAGACCTACTGCTGCAGAGGCTGCTGCTACACTGGTCGTCTTCTCTTGCATTTGTTGTTGCGTGTGCGATAGAAGAGCCAGGTCATCTGCGAAGTCCAGATCGTCCAGCTGCGTCCTAACTGTCCAGTTGATACCGTGCTTCCCTCCAGATGTTGACGTCTTCATAATCCAGTCGATGACCAGGAGAAAGAGAAAGGGTGAGAGTAAGCAACCTTGCCTGACACCGGTCTTCACCTCAAAAGAGTCTGTCAGCTGACCTCCGTGTACGATTTTGCAGTTGAATCCATCATAAGAATTCCGTATGATGTTGACTATTTTCTCAGGCACACCGTAGTGTCGAAGAAGCCTCCACAGTGTTTTCCTATCCACGCTATCGAATGCTTTCTCGTAGTCGATAAAGTTGATGTAGAGTGGTGATTTCCATTCAATTGATTGTTCCACAATGATCCGTAATGTAGCAATTTGGTCAGTACACGATCGATCCTTACGAAATCCAGCCTGTTGATCTCGAAGTTGGGCGTCTACGAAGTCCTTCATTCTGTTTAACAATACTCTGTTGAAGACTTTGCCTGGTATTGAAAGAAGAGTGATGCCTCTGTAGTTTTCACACTTGCTGAGATCGCCTTTCTTTGGTATTTTGATCAGGTATCCTTCTTTCCAATCTGATGGTACTTGTTCCTCATCCCAAATCTTCTTGAAGAGAATGTGAAATATTTTCGCAGTTGCTTCCACATCTGCTTTCATTGCCTCTGCTGGAATGTTGTCTGGTCCTGCTGCTTTGCCGCTCTTGATTTGTCTGATGGCTATACTGATCTCCTCAATCGTAGGTGCGCCAATATTAATTGGGAGGTCCTTGGATGCTGCTTCGATGTTGGGTGGGTTCAGTGGAGCTGGTCGATTCAATAGTTCCTTAAAGTGCTCCACCCACCTATTTCGCTGTTCGTCAGTGTTGCTGATTACTTTGCCTTCCTTACTTTTCACTGGTCGTTCTGGTTTACGATAGTTTCCGGCGAGCTTCTTTGTAGTTTCGTACAATTGTCTCAAGTTTCCTTCTCTTGCAGCCTTTTCCGCCGTCATTGCTAGATAATCCACATATTTTCGTTTGTCATCTCTGATGCTCTTCTTCACTTCCCTGTTTGCTTCTGTGTATTCAGCTTGTGCCTTAACTTTCTCTGCTCTTGTTCGGCTGACATTGATAGCTGCCTTCTTGTTCCTCCTTTCTTGAATTTTTTCAAGAGTACCAACAGAGATCCATTCCTTGTGATGGTGCTTCTTGCGACCAAGGACCTCCTGACATGTTGAAGTGATTGCCTCCTTAATCCCTTTCCAATTGTTCTCCAATGTTGCTTCCTCTCCATTGAGTAGATCCTGAAAGGCCTGGAACCTATTGGTGAGGGCTATCTTGAATTCGTTGAGTTTTACGGTATCCCGAAGAAAGGCCGTATTAAACTTCTGTGATGTTGTCTGCCCCGCTGTCCAGTGCTTCTTTAGCTTCAATCTCATTTTGGCGATCAGCAAGTGGTGATCTGAAGCTATATCAGCTCCTCTCTTGGTTCTCACATCCTCCATGGTCCTTCTGAACGTTTTGTTGATACAGATATGGTCAATTTGGTTTTGAGTAGTGTGGTCCGGTGAAATCCATGTGGCTTTGTGAATGCGTTTGTGCGGGAATATTGTGCCACCGATGACCAGTTTGTTGAAGGCACATAGGTTTGCAAATCTCTCACCGTTTTCGTTCCTTTCTCCCAGTCCATGTCGTCCCATGATGTCTTCATATCCAGTGTTGTCCATTCCAACCTTGGCATTCAGGTCTCCCATAAGAATCGTCAAATCCTTTGGTGAACATTTCTCGACGACTGACTGCAGCCTTTCGTAGAATTGATCTTTAACGTCGTCATTGTAGTCATTGGTAGGTGCATAACATTGGATGACGTTCATTGTAATGTCCTGTTTCTTTGTTTTGAAGGATGCTTTAATGATCCTGGGTCCATGAGATTCCCATCCTATCAGTGCCTTTTTG